CGACTTGCCTAAAATAAACAGACATAAAACACTTCATGCATTTCACAGTATTAATTTAAACATTTAACCAAGATAAATGAGCGCTGTTAGGCGCATATCCAATCGCTTGTGCGGAGAGTGGAAGCTAAAGCGCGCTCTGCAGGACATGGAGGCGCCAGCACAATCACTTGCATTTTTTTTAAGAACAGCGGAAACTTCAAAATACGCCTTCATTAAACCCAGCAACAAAGACACTCACTTATAGGCTATTAAACGAATAAATGAAAGTTTTATTAACAAAAGTTGCGCTTTGGATCCGCCATCATAGTGTTAGTCTTCTCGCATCACTCTTGTCACGTGAACCCCCCCAGCTCAAAATACGTTCCCGCGGCTATGTATATATACTAATTAAACTACAGTACTTTAATAATCTTTTTCTTTACTATGAACAAACATTTTTACAGTGCATTTATTTTATTGATGCAAACAATTCGCAAATGGAACACATTTTATTTAAATCTTCCAAGACACGCTTTTAGCCGGATAAATGTCAAGCTCTAGACGGCAGAGCGCATCTCAACCCAGCCCCAAACTCGGTGATATGGAGCTTATTCATTGGCTGAGCAGGAGGACCGTCCCAGTAATGGGCGTGATATACTCAATGTGGGTTAATTTGTCCATCCTGCACTCGAGCGCACGGTACAGTTCAGTGTACGTACAGCCACTCATATAGCCTACAGAGATGGATCTCGAACAAATGGGACCCCAAACCTTCCTGTACGGTATGTGATGCGATAAATACTTATCTTGATCCGTTCTTGTCATATAGTCTATTAGATCACACGTATAGTACGTAAACTTGGCGATATGCACTTGTAAGAGCATGGCGTTATTGCAGCCTGCCAACTACCCCAAGTTATATTGTCAGACTTAACTTGCTTAAAAACACGTGTTGATGTGTTAGCTGGTATACATGCATTGTAATATAGATATTAAATGGCTGGAAGTGGAGTGACATTAAACTACAACACGTGTAGAGCATTCGCACTAGCTAATCGGTTAGCACTAGATTATTCACAGTGGTAGTTAGCAGTTAATCTGACACCTATTTATGTCTGTTCTAGCCTTTATGATAAAATTCGAAATAAAATTACAAATTGAATTAAGTTATTAAAACAACGAAACCTCCACAGCTCGTGTCTCCCTGCACGCGCTCGCTAAACACGTGCACTCACTGGCGCTCCAAAATGGCGTCACTGTGCTCCACGTGTTATTAGACAACGCTCCAAGTGTCTGAATTTCGCTCGCTAGCCTTCAGCTTAAAAATGTATTCTTAGTTATGTCACAAGTCAACTGAATGCTCATTAGGTGCTTTTTTTCTTCAAAATTTCGTTTTCCTAACAAACACACCCAGGTTATTTGCTCTAATTATACCAACGCTAACGGCGTTTAAAACTATTGCCATCAGTGTTCTCCATCATCTACTTGCTTACTATAAAAACGCGACCCTGGTTTAAAAATGTCGTCTGCATTGTCAGGCCTTGAGCAGTAAATTAAAATGTCAACCTGTAGAGCATCTCACAAACCTTGCCACGTGTAGTTCCTTGCTTCCACATGAAGCCATGGCTGCGTTTTGTTAGTTTTGTTGCAGTAGACTAGAGCCTCGTTTTAAATGTAATTCTCTTCAAAAAAAAAAACCATGCAGTGACATGCAAGCTATAAAAATTATCGTGAACGAATCATTCTTTGGAGCCAGATTATTTAAATGAATCGGTGAGAATGATATTCCTTCACGAATCGGATTGAATCAGACCGAGCGGTTCACTGACTCCTTTATAAACCTAAAGATCTGTATTGTGGACCACGTGCCAAAGTAAATGAATCACTTCATTGGTTTGGAGAGAGTATTGCTTGAGAATACAGGTTTGCAGAAGTTAGTTAAACTTCTCATTAAAGGAGGGATCTTAATGCTTTTTTAAAATAAACTTTTGTTTGTTTTTACAGGTTGTGAGCTCCAGGCAGGCAAGGAGGTCCGTTTTAATCCAGAGGATGACAATTATGATCATCAGTTATCAGTCAGAATGGTATGTGGTCCTCCAATTTTCAGTAACTTTTAAATTTCATATATAAGGCATTTGTTTATTTGTTAATTGTTGCAGGCCTGCGTTGATCCCACAACAAAAGACGAACTGAACGTTGTGGAGATCGAAGGGCAAGATTCAGAGGGTCAGAAGGTCAAGGCAGTTCTGGCCACACTCAAGCCTTCCTCTCTCCCCAGCGTAAGTATAATGTCCATCCATTGAGCAAAGTCATTTCACACATCTTTTGGGTAAACTTGTTGATCTCCATGAATTGCTCTTGTTGATTTTAACTAAAGATGTGTTTGTATCGCAGGTGTGTTTGGGTGGGTTTGAGATCACTCCACCTGTTGTGTTCCGTCTACGCTCTGGTTCCGGTCCAGTTCACATTAGTGGACAGCATCTCATCAGTGAGTATTTCATAATACTTGAAGAGGTGTATGATTATTTGGGATTGTCTTCGATAAGAACTAATGGAAAACTGCTTTGGGAATTTTCAGGAAGCTTCTTATTTTTTGAACTTTTCTTTCAGTCATGGAAGGAGACCAGTCCTTTGATGAAGAGGAGGAGGAGGAGGAAGAAGAAGAGACACTGACCACAGCTAAGAAGAGGCCAGCGTCGGTGACTCAGAAGCTTTCAGTAAGTTCTGGAATGAATTAGGATCCTTTAATTGATATATATATATATATATATATATCTATCAGGGGAGAGCCGCAGCCCTGCAGAGTTCAGCTCCAACCCTAATTAAAACTCACCTGCCTGTAGCTTCCTAATAACCCTCAGACCTTGATTAGCTTGTTCAGGTGTGTTTTGTTAGGGTTGAAGCAATATAGTGCATGATATAGGCACGTGCTATGAGTGACGCAGACAGCTCACGCAAACAAGAACACATGCTGAATTGAGTGCTGTGCCTGCCTGTGATGAGATTGTGAATAAAAAAAATGAATATTAGTTGAATTTAAAATAAACATTTGCATTTGAGCATATTCAGCACATTTTTACACGGACAAATATGACTGCTGCACTCACGTCTCATGCAAGAGATGCAAAGAAAGTCATGGAAAGTTAAAACAGTTTTAACGTCTAGAAAACGCGACGCGAATTTGTGAAGGTTTATTTCCTTTCACTGCGTCTCATATGTTTTTAACCTTTTAGGCGCCAGGGATTTTTGGAAAAATGCTGGATTTTGACATCAAGATTTCAAAAGCTTGTGGCTTGAAAGGGCTTAAAGATAGAGATGCACTGGATCCAGAGCGCTCTGACTGGATCCAAAGAGCTAGTGCTACTTCCAGCCCTATTTCTCCTACCCCTGCTGTCTCTACCTCTAGCAACAGCTTTCCTA